TCTGCTAATATTTATGGATAATATTAGGAATAGTGTGAACAGCTAGTTTACTTGTTAACATATACATGTTAGGCTGTTGCCTTGGTTAAAGAGCCTGTTGCTGTTGTGTATTGCTTTGAATTATTTAAAACAAATATTATCTTCTTAAACAGGTATGGTAGTCAGGAGCATCACTTCCTAATGTTTATTGATATATTTAGAGGGAGGGGATGGCAAGGAATGCTTCAAAATTTAGATTAGATTAATTTCTACCATTTTTTTAATTCATGGTGGTTTCAGTAATCCCATGGTACTTGAGGACATAAGTAATCTAAATGACTAATGTCATCTTTATGACTTTCAGAAAGGACAGGAGACCAACAGGTGACTATCAATGGACTAGCAGCAACATGATTATGACGTTAAAAGTGTTGTTTTAGGAACATCCATTGTAAATACATGGAATTCAATAAACATTGAATAGCATGTCATGCAGTTTGTCTGTGCCTTTTCCTCCGTGTTGTCCTGGCATATCGTCTCCACCATGGATTGCTGTGCTGCCTGGGGATGCTCCAATCGCTCAGAGAAAGGAGTAAGAATCAGAATGTACGGCTTCCCCACTGACACAGAGAGGAGGAAAAAATGGCTAGCTCAAGTCAGCAGGAGCAATTTAACAATCAAAACAGACAGCCGCAACAAAATATGTGAGGTAATCATATTCAAACACTGCATTTGCACTTTTTCCACAAAACGAAGACCACACCATTGGGAAGCTTAATGTTTGGTTTAATACAAATAACAGGGAAAGGCTTGAAAAACTCTGAGAGTTGAGACTCAGGGTGCAGGGTGAGGGTCTCAGTGCAGGTATTCAGGCTCTATTGAATCCCCCTCTGGTTCTTGTGCTGAAAGAGGGAGAAACAGACAGGAGAAAGGGTTATACACACCTATATAGCACACCTATATAGCACACCTATTGGATGGGAAATTGCCTTGGGGAGATAAGGTGTGGTCTTTGTTTCCAACTGAAGTTATGGAACTTTATCATTTGTGAGTTTAACAAAGTATGACAAATGGCATCAGTAATGGATGTGATATGAATTTGTATAAAGTTGTCTCACATTCTTGGTCGTATTTTACGTACAGTATGTAATGAGTGTATACATGTCCAGTAAGTCCTCCACCTGTAACATCACTGCCCCTCCACCTGCCATACAGTAGGTTACTAATATACACTAACAAGATTACTTATATAATACAGTGATAGAATACATGTTTAGTATGCTTACTTATATACAACAGTAGTATTAAATGTACCTTGTGTTTTCACTCTCACTTTGCCATCATTTCAAAATCAGCTGAGCTGCAACATAATACAGACAGGTAATAATCAACAGAATACACTAAAAACACTCACCCATAAATTACGTTTTTGTTTACTGTTTGGAAGTCTCAAATATGCACTCTAAATTCATATCAATAGCGATGTATCACACAAATAGCTCTCTTCCTTATTATTGTGTAACGTTAACTTTATTATACTAGTTTGTAGGTCTACTCCAAAATGAAGATCGTAATTTCTCCACCTCCACTCATTACAATCACACGTGCCCCAATGTTATATTTAACTAATATTATATTCCTCCACCCCACAAAAAAATCACGTTTAGAAGCCCTTTTTCTCTAATTCCACAACGTTGGATGAAATAACATTAGGAGAACGGATTAATAGCTGTTCATGGTTAACGTGTGTTGCTAACTTTATCCGGTATCCTAGCCTAATCTGTTATCTGTAAACGTTCTACTGATTTAGGGATAATCCACTAACATCCTTTAATACACATGTTCATTTGACTCAGATGTGCTGATAATATCTGCAATATAAATCTTTAAACGTCTTCTTACCTTTAAAAGTCCATCACGAACGGTCTATTATGCTACAACTCTACTGTGTTGCTGGCATAGACTGTGGCTGCGTTTCACTTCTCTTATTTTTCATTTCCTCGCTCCTCGGTCTCGGTCTCACCGGAAGTTGATTTGTCTGCGCCATTTGAGTAACGTCCCAATGGCCTTATTTTTGCCGGAGGACCGAGGATCGAGGAGCGACAATGGAGGAGCTATAATCGAGGAACCACCAGACCATCCTTCGATGAAATCCTCAGAGACTTGCCCCGCCCCCTTACTGTGTATCGCTCACTGATTGGACGGTGCAGCGCATGCACTGATCTGATGCTTCTTGACAGGAGAGCAGAGTTTCCCAGCGGAGTGAAGAAAACACATGAAACTCACGGGACTCACTCCTCAGTTTATACTGTGTTTTGTTTCAATTAATGCATAATTTAGTTACAAATATGTGATATATCTGAACAACAAAGTGGACAAAAATCATTTCATTCATTTATTGGAAACATTTTCGTGATCGCTTTTTTCGTTTTACATTTTCATTTATTGTCATTTCCATTCAGTCAGTCATTAAGTGCTATTTAACATGTTAATTTGCTACATATCCACACAAAGTGTGCAATCCAGTTAATGTTAATCTAACTGGGTTTTGATAGATAACATATCTCTTTTTCTTCTCACAATTATTTTATTTATATTGTGCACTGTAATCAATATTAACCAAACTAATAGTTCGTTTATACATTTTAAGAATGGCGTTTATGTTTTTTGTGAATTAGTTCTTATTTTATTTTATTTATTTGGGTCTACAACAGATGATACACATGTTTGTGTCAGTAAATGTGTACTAACAGAGGCGGGGGTGTGTGTGAAAATAACGGGGACAGAGCTGGGTTGCGTTCGAATACTCCAAAAAAACAGCTCCTAAGTTCTAACCCTATCGTCTATTCCTTGACCTCGGAGTGAAACGTCATGGGGTTAAGGGATAGTGGATAGGAGAATTCAAAAGGATTTAGGAGAAGAGACTGCGGCACTTTAGAGAATCCGACTGCACTTTCACTATCCGACGTGTTTATGATGCGCCAGCAGAGGTCATAAATGTGCGCCTGCTGCTGTGGGGAAACTATGGAAACTACAGTTTTCTATACAGCGGACTACAACATGGATGTTTAATAAGAACGAGGGACTACTGTAAACTCATCTAGAGACTCTGCACCGTGCTCTGATGCTGTTGTTTTATGCTTTATGAACAGAGAAACATATTCTTCATGACCAAAGTTGGAATTGAAATAAAAAAGGAAAGTGAAACTTATGCTCGTCACCCTCTCCCTCCGGTCCACATTAATACAAATGATCCCAATACATATGATTGTATGAAAAGATCTTAAAATCAATACAAATGTATTTATTATAAACGTTAGTCCTTAACATCTATCACTGTGTATATCACCATTCAAACATCTTTTAAAAGTTGAACAAACCCCACACAGCTCAGTAAAGACTGTGAAATGTTGACTTTATTTGATCATTTCAGTAAAAACTAACGTTCATATTTCTCTTTTTGATTATAATACGGATGAACGTTCAAAACAAAGCACTTTGGCAACTTACCACATACGTTTTAAAATGCTTAATAAGCACCGTAACTTTCATGATATCATTTCTCGTTCATAATCGGTTGTTTCCGTGAACGGCCGACTGTTGTGTGACGGCAAATGCTGCGGCCGCAAGGCATTGTGGGGCAGCATTTTCTCCTCTCCTTTCGGTTAGGGAGGTCCAGTGGTTCCTAGGCTAAAGGAGGTTATAAAGGAAGTTTGAAACCTCCTTTCCTTTTAATTTAGAGAATTCGAACGGCACTTATCATGGCTGCCACTGAGGGACTTCCGGGTCATTTCACTCCGTTAGGAAGGTTCCTAAGCTAAATGGACTATTCGAATGCAACCCTGGCTGCTGTCAGACGATCAGCTGTGCAGCGTCATCACAAACGGACGTCGTTTGACGTGACGCTCCGGAGGAAAGGACGTCCCATTGCCCTTAAAACTCATTTCCCTGCTTCTCGTGGTTTCCTTGCGTCTCTCCATGCTTCTCTGGTGGGAGGGACTAGTCACAGGGAAACAACGCAAGTGAGGGACGCAAGGAATCCATTTAACCGAAGTGAAACGCAGCCCGTATGTTGCTGGTCGCAAAAGTTCCCCGGAAGTCAGCGGCAAGCTAACTTCCGGGGAACTATTGACGGCTGCACGATCCGCCATTGCTGTAAAAAAACTGGTCCATTGGAGTGAACGGAGATGTCGTAACTCTTCTATTATACGGCTCTGACTAAACCCAAAGCAGAAGAAGAATAAGTGACGTCAGCGGCTCATTTGCCTAATCCACCCCCAGGAACTCATTTTGGTGTGAACGCGATATGCTTTAGTTCGTCAGAACTAAAAGAACTCTCATGAACTAAAGTTCTCATGAACTATACTGTGGGAAAAGTACTTGGTGTGAACGCGCCTTATGTCTGTCTGTCTGTCTCGATGTCTGTCTGTCTGTCTGTATGTCTTTCTGTAACTATATTTTAGAGTTTAAAGCGTAGCCACTTTTACTCCACTACATGTATTTAAAACCTTTAGTTACTTTACAGATTTGGATTAATTATGTGAAATGTAATCAACACTTAAATCAGACTTAAGTTCCTCCTGGAGTAAATTCACAAGCTACCCTGCAGTATACAAAGTCATTCAAACTAGCTGCACCTTTACCAGCTTTGAGAACACTTTAATGATCAATCATTATAAAACATATCATATATATTATTCTGAAATGGACCAATCTGCACAATGACTACTTTTACTGTCGCTACTTGAACTATATTTTGATGATAATACTTTTCTACTTTTACTTGAGTAACATTTTGAATGCAGGACTTTTACTTTTAACAGAGTATTCCTACACTCTGGTAATTCTACTTTTACTCAAGTACAAGATCTGATTACTTCGACAACCTCTGATTAATGGTTGATTTCCAAATGTTCTGTTGGTGCGTGGATGATAAAATAATAGCGTTTGATTGTATTGCCTTACGTATGCAGCTATTTGCCTGTGTTTAGAAACATAATTAAACATACCATGGACACACATTCAAACAATTTTCCATTTATTAAACATTGCAGATGAACAATTAACAAGTCATACAGCTAAAGAAAACTACAACAATTATTTTCTGTATGATGATAACATGGAACCTGGAATTTGAACACACACCACTTAACAATAAACAATAAACTTAACAATAAACTTAACAATAAACTTAACAATAAACGACTGAACTGCTGTCCACTTTAGGGTAGGGCCCTTAAAGCATCCAGTGCTGCAGACAGTCCAGCAACCTGGGTATACACTGGCTCCTGATCCCTGCACTTGCCTTTACACATATCTTCTTACAATGTCTATGAGATCCTTTATCCCGTTTTGGAATGGTGCTGGCTCGTTATGAATGGCACGCTCAAAGAGTTCAGCAATGTCCGCATAGTTCGTTGCAAATTCTTGTTCAGCTGCTGTCTGGTGCTCCACAGTAGCAAATGGGTTTCTCCCAAACAGCGACACTCGTGTCAGAGAGGACCCCACTTCCTGATGATAGCAGTCTGCAGCATCTGTAGCTTCAGGCAAAAGATCTGCAGGCAGTCTCTTTGGGCATCCACCATGAGCAAGTTGATCTGGGATACCCTTACCTTAAAAAAAAAGCACAAATAAGTGGCCATTGTTAGTGTAATGTTACATATCATGCATATCAATGAACCTCACACAGCGTGTAATCATGGCCTGCCCTTACAACAAATGTTACTTGTGCTATTAGTACACTTCTTACAAACTTTAAAAAGTATGTTTTTAATTTTACTGTTTATGTACTTACCAGATATATATGTTTCATGCAATAAGAGCAATCTATAAACTAGATTAGATATGTCTTTACTCAGACAATTATTGAAATATTGGAATATATACATGCCACATTTAAACATTTCCATCAACCTAGTGTAAAAAAGGGGATACAGAGAGAAACAAATGTAGGATATAAGTACAACTTATAAAAATGCATAAAGAAGGTCATTTGTTATGGGGCTTAAGTAACATTCTGAAAACTGCTATACAAACCTTGGATTCTGTGTGCATTCCAGGACTGCACCATCCGGTCAAGTCCAATTTTGGCTACCTGACAGGTAAGAGTGGACACACAATATCGTGTGATGTTGTCTTCAAGGTTTAGTTCCTCCTGGTCAACAAGGTGGTTGAGTGCACCTTTCAGAGGGTAGTTTACCCTGTTATTTACCTCTCGCCACATCCTTTCTATAATATGATTCTGTAATTTCAAGTAAACAAAAATGAGAAGAGTCAAATGTAGAGAGCACATTGTAATTTCCCATTGCTAATTTCCCAATTTCTTTCCCAATTTCCGGCTTTGTATTTTATCCATTTCCTGTATTCAGTTCAAAAGTACTGTGTATCTCTCCTATGTCATAGGAAAAAGCTAGCAGTCCCCTAGAGAAGTTTAGTGAACGCCATGGGTCTATTGACAGCTTTATCAGCTAGCAGTTGGGTGAATAATGGAATGAGATCAGAAATCTTTTATTTGTCTCGCCACAGGGTAATTTACATGATTACAACAGCAGATAAAGTGAGGAATAAAAGACAAAAATGGCGATGTGGGGATTGTCCACAGTATTGAGTATGTAAGTCGCTTTGGATAAAAGCGTCTAACAAGTAACATGTAATGTATGAACACGTTGATTGTAATTCAGATAAAAAAACAACTCGCCTGTGTTGACTTTGTTTGCACGTATGGCTGTCTACCTGTGTTATTCCGGTAGTCTGCCAATTTCTCCTGCATGAAAAGAGTCAAGTAGAATTCTTTGCCATGGTCTACTCGGATTTGGACCCACATTCCATATCGTAGGACAGCACTCCTGCAAAACAGCAATACAAAAGTCTTATGACATGTAACAGAATTTCATGTTTGTTGTTACAACCTAAGCATTGCTAAAGCGAATTTTTTTACGCAGTTAAAATGTTGATCTCATCAATCAATTACCAAGTAACGTACAATATACAGTGGTTACCTGTCAGTAGTTTAAGAAGTATTCGATTTACAATATGTTTCCCAAATGAAACAGTTCAAATAAAGCTACATTTAGCCATTGTGTTTTTATTTAACTAAACTTTTACTAAATTATTTACTGTCTTGTTTGCAACCTTTTTATTAGGTTATTACTATATTATTATAACAGAAACAAGGCACTGAAACTTACTGGTAAACTTCTTGATATATGGTCAGGTTGTTTTTCACTGGCATGGTGGAGTGGCTTACAATGTTGCTGGAGAATCCGTCCACGGCAAGGACGTGGGTCACCCCATACATCACCAGTTTATCGTTTTGGTCAATGTGCAATTTGTGACCCATGTACTCTGCACTGTATGGCACTGGATTTCAATTCCTTAATCTCTGAGGAATTAAACACAATGTTATTGTTCTCACAATATGTTCACAGCAATGTACAATACAGGAAAATCTAGATGTTTTTAATAATACCTACACGATACCGATCTGCATGATATGGCTGGTTCGTTTCTCTGAGGACACGACCAACACGCCCCTCTGATGCTCGGATTCCTTTTGAGGCCAGGTAACCAGTCATCATTTTTCTTCCATATGTTGGTCCAGTCTGAATTTGTAAACACAAAACTAAAACTAAATAGGACCAAGGTACGTTTTAACCGTTTGTTTTTTAGTTCTAATTGAAACCAAAAACCCCCAGAATAGTTATCTCATTATTTACACAATTATGTCCAAAGTTATTAGTGAGTATTTCTGTCACATCATTGTTAAGCCTCAACTCAGCTCCTACGTCTCAAAGAAAACCCATAATTCAGGGCTCGTTAAAATTGTTTGTATTGTGAGAATAATCAATATACAAATTAAACCGGAACTTTAGTCCACTGATGTATTGTTCCCTCACGGACCAATATCGGGGGTAGTAGCTTCCGGAACCGGAAGTTGCATTGTTTTTAGCATTCACAGTAGGATGTAGCATATCAAGCAGCATTAGTGAAGAGATGGATAAAAACGCGTGTCGTTACATACTAAACACACCGTCTCTAACTGCCACTCATCGATGCTAACATATCAACTGTTACTATATGGTTAACAATCATGTAGCTATTTAAATGCTTATGAAGGGATGTTTAGCTACGTCAAGAGAGTTTATAATCGGATCTGAAACGTTTATATGGCCCCTCTCCCGTCGCAGCCTCAGAGGAACGTCATGTTTACTATAATTAAAACCCTGTTCATTTTACAAGAAGTTTCTTGGATTCTTTCTGGCCATTTACTCCTCCCAGCATTCCGAAACCCAACAGTATAGAGTGGCGAAGTCACGCCCATCTACTTCCGGTCCATGGGACCTTATTTCGGAAAAATAATGTATTGAAGTCAATGGAGAGAGAAAACTTATCTTTCGATCCCGTTTGAATTGTGCCATGAATTATGATGTTTGTCAATCTTAAAAAATCATTTCCATGTCAAAAAAGTCACAGTTTGTCGTAAAACTGTTGAAATATAAGACTATGAAAAATACGCAACTAGAAAGACTACAAATCCCAGAGTCGCGTAAGTGATGTCACAATTGTTTTCCTCCACTAAAATAGAGATAGCTAAGATAAGATAACGCCATATAGATAGAATCTATCTATATGGCGCTGGCTAAGATAAGATAACTTTAACAAGATGCCTGTGTGCTTAGTACCAGGTTGTTATCATACCAGCAATGGGTCTTGCTCGTTCTTTTGCTTCCCGTCTGATGAAAGGACCAGGAGTGGCTTGATCAAGTTAGCTACCTAGCTAGTAGCTAGCACGTTAGTTAGCATTACAGCCTTGTCATTTTTAGTCACGGTGGGAAATACAATACATCAGGGCTATTCAATTGGCGGCCCGCGGGCCAAATCCGGCCCCGGGGTGATATTTACTGGCCCTTTGAGTATAATGTTAAAAAGTAATCAATTTTTTTTTTTTAAGATTTTTTTTTTTTTTTTTTTTGGTGCCATAGTGCCTTTATTCCAGAGAGGGTGTTACATTGAGAGATAGAGGGGTAGACAATGACTGAAAACTTCGACGGGCTCGGGTTTCGAACCCACCTACTATACTGTAGTGACAACTCCTGTCATTGATTGCATCTCTGCGTGAATGATTAGATAATTTCACCTAAATGAAATCAAATGAAACATGTAGGCCTACTGAGTTCTGAACTTGCCATTTAGATCTATAAAGGCCTTGGGGCTATGTTGTTTGATTGAATTAAACACAATATATGCATTCCACTATGCTGTTGTAGTATTTACTGTATCTGAAGCTCTTAAATATGATTGCTCATATTTCAAGCCATCTTTTTCCCGGCCCCTTGCTTTGGATCATTTTCATCAACCGGCCCCCATTCCAAACTAATTGAATAGCCCTGCAATACATGTTACAAGTTGGGGATATTGGGGAAGTGCTTAGAGAAGGGTATTCAGTCCTGGATCTAGAGCAAAAATAGTGTTTGAGAGAGGCGGGTAGGTCAGTCCCAGCCCTTCACTCACTAAATACGAAGACTGTAAGGCTGTAAAAGAAGTATAGGTTAAATTCCCCGTAAGTCAAAATAACATTGATTAATACGGTTGCTTTACAGTGCTTTAATTAGAGACTACGGAGGTGTAAAAAACAGAAGGGTTAAATTCCCCGCAGATCATGATAAGATTGATTAATGCGGTTACCTTTCGTGGTGCTTTAAATGTATAACATTTCTGTAATTGTTATATGGTGGGTGATAGAGGAGGAGAGAGACGCGATCTCCAACTAATTATTTGGAACGACCGTATCTCATCACAAAACTGTTGTGGGGATAATCAGGCTCATTAAACGTGACGATAAAGAGATTTTATAAACATCGCACAATAAAAATGTGCCTGACTGTAATATGATAAGGTATGAAAAGCTCTGTGTGATAAACACTAATAAGTCAAATCTGTGTAATACTTGAGAGACAAATCCAGTGAGAACAACTGGAGAAAGATTTGCTGAAGAAATAGTGAGTGAGGACGGCTTCATTCATGGTCAGCTGCTGCCCTCTGGTGGCGAAAAGGGAGTACTACAACATTCTGAAAGATTGAATGCTAAACATTTAGAATTAAAAGAAAAATTGCACAGTATATTAAATAAATACAAACGAACACGTATCAACATAAGTCAGATAATATAGACGAGGTCAATCATGGAAGAAGGCTGACATTTAATGCCTGATATATAAGTGATAGTAATAATAAATATATAGCTGATATTAAATAACTGATGTATAAGGCTCGATATTTCTGAAAATAAGAACACCGTTAACGGCGTTCTATTTCAGAAAAATGGGGAAAAGGATAGGATATACATCAGACAATATGTATGTGAGATTATTACGTTTTTAGGAGAAATTTATCAATTTAGAATACTAGTTTTGGTATTTTTTGTTTTGGTTTGTTTGTTGCTTTTAAGAGAAATTGATACATTTAAAATAATCTAGCTTTGGTTATTTTTTGTTTTGTTAGTTTGTTCCTTTTTTGTTTTATTTTTATTTTTGTTCTATTTTAATTTTTAATTTTTAATTTTTAATTTTTTAATTTTTTTTATTTTGTTTATTATTTTCTGCATAGTCTCTTGTCCACACTCCAGTCTAGTTGGTGCCGCCAATAAACACTAAAGAAGTAGAAAAGATGATTTCAAAACCATATTTCCAGCAACTTAAGGGCTTGGTATGAGACTTCTCCACACAGGCTGCTGACGTCAAAAGGGGGACCCGAGAAACACAAGGCCAACACAGCAGATTACGTCTGGTTGGAGGGGACCTCCCATGCCGTCCGCCTAGATGGAAAGGGAGACAACTGGTACCACTGGAGCCAGTGTGCGGTCGGGAAAAACACCTGCAAGGACCCTAGACCAGTAGTTCTCAACTGGTGGGTCGCGACCCAAAAGTGGGTCGCGGACCCGTTTCAAGTGGGTCGCGGATGTGTGAGTGAAGAAAAAAAATTGACATTTTTTTTTTTTTTGAGAAAAAATGCAAACTTTTATTTTGAAGGACCGATTTTCTAACGCTGTGCATGCAGTAGGCGTTGGACTGGAAGTACCGGAGACCATAAATGGTTTTGAAAACTTCTGTCACGTAGTGATCATCTTCTCAATAAAACATCTCTGCTGATGTTTTTTCGAGTCTTCTGGCCAATCAGAATCAAGATTGTTGCCAGAAGTCCCCACGGAGAATAACTTTGCGGTAGAACTATTCTTTATACATCCATGGGTACAACTTCAGATAAAAATGAACACGTAATGAAATATGACCCCCGGTTTGATGATTGACAGGTCACAGAACAATGGGAGCTATCTACCCTTACCCACAATTTAAAGTAAGTCACACACAATCTCCTCTTTACTCTTCTCTCAGCAAGCTGTCAGAACTAAGTGAAAAACAAACAATGGCATAAAATATTATTAATATGTCGGGTAGTAATAGATTTATTTATTTTCTTCTCAGAGTGTACCAGAATGCGTAGTTTATGTTAGTATTTCTAAAAATCTCCTGGGGGAGAATCCCCCCAGACCCCCCTGCTGGGGTTGGGTTTTCAGCATGTGTGCCTTTTTATATAGTTCAGCTTTGATTCCATCATCTCATTAAACCTTTTTTAAAAGCATACTTTAGTTCTGTGAAGGGATATAAGGGATATATTCACTGTACTTCACTTTTATTAATATTGTATTCTGAAAAGCGTATATATTACAGCACGATTTTTTGTTGAATAGATTTGAGTGCTTCAAAATGTTGGGTCACGATGTATTGACCAAGTAAAAAGTGGGTCCCGAGGCCTGACCAGTTGAGAACCACTGCCCTAGACGACATCAGAACGGATCTGGCTCTCGTCAAGGCAGTCGACCCAGGAGGCGCCATCAGCAGACCGGAGGAGGAGGATCAGGACATCTCTCCAGCAGTCGAACCGGAAGCCGCCATCAGCGGGCCGGAGGAGGAGGATCGGGACATCTCTCAAGCATCGACCCGGAGGCCGCCATCAGCAGGCGGGCGGAAGACAATCAGGCCACATCTCTCTAGCAAGCACCCCAGAAGCCGCCGTCAGCGGGCTGGGGGGACGAAGATATGGCAAACCAAGAAGGCACAGGGAACTCCATTTCCCGCTGAAACAGGTTGATATAGCCGGTGTGGAACTTTGTCTGAACAATCCATTTTTAGAGGAACTTTCAACTTTATTTTTATATCCCACAATATAAGGGATTGGTATTTTTTATTCTACAGAACTATGTGTTACCAAAAGAGGGAAAAGTATGATAATGTCTTTTCTGATTTCTGTGGCTACTTTTATTGCCATTTTAGTGACATGTGGTTGTTGTTGTGTGCCTTGTATCTGCTCATTGTGTGTTAAGACTCATCAGTTCCACCATTGAGGGTAGAGTAAAGATGACTCAGCTGACAAGGACTTTGCTTTTTAGACATATTTTATTCTCCCTCCACTGTCATAATAAGTTGTTGTTGTGGACTGTTCCTAAAGGTTTAAAGTGCTCTATATCCCAACTTCTGATGGGTTTATATAAATGTTGGGACAGACAC